TGACTGGCAACTCTTCTGGCAAGAGAGGAGCTTTGAATCAGAATCAGAATCAGAAAGGGTTTTATTGCCAGATGTTGAGCAGGTTTACAACATTAGGAAATTGCTGCGGTGCTTCAGTGCAAACATACTGTCATAAAAATATAAGAATAAGAATTAAAAGTGCTAAGTGGATAGATATATACATGATATATACATGAGTGCAGGTGGTGATCAGTGCCAAACATGGAATGATGCAGTGAACACAGCGTCATTCCAGGGTTCTTGAATGTCGTTCAAGAACCGTGGAGAAATATTTCTCCAGGGTCTTCAGAAATATTTCTGAAGACTACTTAAAGAAATGACAGGAAAGTTTGCCTAAGAGAGTTCAGATCGTGTATAATCACATCTCTTGATGAACCAGTTATATCATCATAACCTTTACAGTTTGTTTTACAGTTTTTGGGTTTGTTTGTTTTTTTTAGCTATTCGTGTTTCCATCTCTCTCTTTCAGATGCTGACAGACAAGATGCAATCAACTTGTTCCTCCAAGTTTACCAGCCATCAGAGTTTAAGCCACACCTTTGGGAGCTTCCCACAGACTTCTATCTGCATCATACAAGCACCATGGCCATCCCCCAAGACAGACGGAGGTAACAGATAACCCTAAATACACCAACCAAAAGATTACTGTGCTTGCTTTGCATGAACACAGACTTTATTTCTCTGTCTTCAATATTGAAGTTGTTCATTTAAATGTTGGTGGATTTTTATAGGATTGGGATTGCACACTTTTTGCACATCCAAGTGTGCAAAACGTCCAGCTTTTTCTTGAGCTGGACAAGATTTTCAAAAATTTGATCCTGAAAGTTTAATTAAATGCAGCTATATGTTTCCTACTGGGTTGAGCTTTATGCTTTTATACCTGTGTCTATGTGCAAATTGGTATCTTATGCGTGGGTTCTGAAAGCACAGGAATGCTAAACTTAGGGAAGGAGATCCAGAGGAAACACAGGCAAATTAAGAACAAATTTTTAATGTTTCCACAGCATAGGTGCAAAAATCAGTGCAAAGTGAGAAGAAACAACACAGTTTTGCAACTACACACTTTACTATTAGATTGTAGTTGCTTCAGACTTTGACTGTCAAAAAAGTGACCAATTGTATTTACTTATTTTTGTAGCTTTCACCTGTGAAGCTCTTACACAGTACTTTCTTATGAGAAATAACCTATAAGAGATGCAACCCAAACATTAAATGAGGTATGCTCAAAATTTAGAAATCCAAAACCCCTACAAAGAGGAAAATGTATATATGCTGTAAGATAATCCTAAGAGGGGGATCAGTTTGATATAAATACTCATTAACAGCACAGAGAAAGACATTCAAAGCTGTTTTATTGCTTATCCTATCAATGACTTGAAGAAAGTGTGTGTGTGTGTGTGTGTGTGTGTG